AGGTCAGGAGAGGTCTGCCACGCCATGTGGTCACCTCCGGGGCAGGCTGGGATCGAACTCATGCGGAAGTGGCTTTAGATTCTCAGCGCTGTGCTTTAACCCGCTGCGCCACCAGGGAGGGCCTATAATCTTTTTTTATAAATTTAGACAATTTACTCTCTGTACTAGCCCTATTCCTAACTTCTTATCGATTTGTACTACTTATCATTTTATTATATAGACATCCTATCTTTCCAAGTATTCCATAAACTCTATGGTAGGGAAACAGCTATATCAAGAAGTCTCTACATACAGTGTAAGTGCAATAAATTTGGTTATTAATTAGCTTCAAAAAATTGGTGTCAATAACTAGCAAAAACAGTAAATTTACAAAGAGGGAAAAGCGCCCTGGCGTGAAGGTACTAAAGTAGCACGTGCAGACTGCACATTTCAAGCATTTGGCAGAACAGACAATGGACCACTAACAAATGTCTTTCAAGTTACAGTCACTAACTCTTAGTTTTAAATTAAGTCCTTTATTAAGGACTATTTGTTGATCTCAGAGAAACCAACCCCAGGAGTTTCTGTCCTTTCCTAGTCTACCTGGGATTTACTGTGCATACCAAACCAGTTTATCCATCAAAAAAAATAAAGCAAATAATTTCACTTTACCTCACAAAATTGTTCTGAAATTCAAATGAGATGATAATATGTGTTAAAGGATTTTACATATAAGTAGTACATAAAATATCATTATGACATGTAAGGTATTACAAGATGCATACGAGGAACAGTAACTTCCACAGAGGCAGCCTTTAATCAGGGAATCAGACACATATACTCATTAACTCTATACGTTTCTTTGTTTCAGATGACTAATAAGTGAAAATTTCCATGAGTTTTCTTTCTATGTTACATAGCCTATATAATAAAATCTGCATTAAACCAATAGTAGGTTTAAAGCCAATATGAAGTCTACAGAGTCCTCTTACAAAGGACTAACAATACTATTTCTCAAGTACCCCAGTTAGAAATTTATCTTTGCCTCCCCCCCACACCCAGGAAGCAGAAATTTTAAATAAATGTAGGAGAAATAATTTCAAATGTTTATTTTTAACATGTTATCTAGGTTTAATTACTGATGCCTTAACCAGAGAAATGTGAAGAACAAAGAAATTTCTACTTATTCTTGTAAATGCTACATATCACACTACCTATTTTCATTCCAAACCTTCCCTACCACAACAAACCCTCAGGACTGCACTTAAACATAAACACAGCATATTAAGCTTATGGGTTGTTAGATACAAAATAGTCTTCCTGAACAAAAGAAGCCAAAAAAAGGGAAACATACAGCTTCCATGGTAAGTTGAAGGATGAAGAAAGAAACCTCATTTTAGGGATGTCAAAATTGCATAGTGGAAAACAGCTTCTTGAGCTGCTATTTACAGAAGGCTCAAGATTTTCTACATCAGTTAATAAAAGTCCCAATTCCTACTCTAACTCAGTTCCCCAAGTGTCTTCCCAAGCAGCATTGTGTGCATCTCCCCAAAGTCATAAGGCTTCCCCAAAGTCTTCAGGCAAACTTGGTTACCTGAAAATTGCTCTGTGCCTCTCCAAAATGTTTATATCCTCTTGGTAAAATTTTGGGAATGAGGAAAAAAGACTAAGTTCTCTTATCAATGGAAAAGGCAGCATCTGTTGATCTTTTAAGAAAGCCTTTTGGAAACTTCAGATGAATTCCTGGAATTCACTTCTATTATGGAATCAAAAAAAAAAAAAAACCTGAAGAAATAGACACTACCGATAATCTTCAAAAATGGAAAACAACTACATCTGAGTACATCCAGATGAGATAGAGATCTGTTCTGACTGAAAAACAAGCATTTTCTTTCCTTTTTTATCTTTTGCTTTAAAATCTCCCTAACCAATTCAATCTTACCATTAAATCTGTAAATAACAAGCCAAACTTTCACAGCATGGTCTATCCTTCACCGGTGTAGAACAAACACACTATAGCTACTAACTTTGAACTCTACTTACCCTTTAACACAACCCTTGGTTCTGCTTTTTAACACCCTGCCTGGGCTACTTCTAATTTTTAAAAATTCTTGGACTCCTCAAGTTTAAAGCTGACCCACGCTTACCTTTAGTACGTGGCTACGTACATGGACAGGTACTGCCAAGTCTCTCAATGCACTGTCTCCTCAGCCGCAGACCTCCCCGTTTTAATAATCTCAGTAAAAAGTTACTTGATTGTCTTTCCAGACTCTCTTCCTTCCCTTCCAAACAAAGTCTGAGGGTCATTCTTAGGACCTCACTGATCAGGAGCCCAAATCCCACCAATAGTAGGAAAAGGAATCCATTTGGCTGTTCAGTGTTGCTCCTGACTTGGTATTCAGAGCTGAGAGTGGCAGGGCCTGTGCATTTGCCTGAGTGTGTGCTTTTCCCTCCAGCTGCCCCCTGTAAACCCCCCTGCTTACTACCTGTTGGCAGTGCTGGTGTTGCTGCTTCCGCTGCTGTGTTTCTGCGCCCGGCTCAGTCTTCTTGGGGATTTTGAATGCTGCAGTCGGGGGCTCGGCATGGAAGGGAAGGTGGAGGCATAGCCATGTTCACACTCTGAAGAGAGAGCAAGAAAAAACAGTAAGTTTCCCAAGTCCATGGACCCACAGATGTGAAGGGCCTTTCACTAACAGTCGAAGAAAACAGGAGAAGGAAAGGAGGTCACAATCTGCCACGCTCTTTGGTTGGAAGATAAAACCCCAGGCCCTCCCTTGACTTCACTCCTGAGATTACAGACAGCTGGAAACTACCACCTGGGGGCCATGCGAACACTCCCTTAAACCAGGTGACTTCTTCCTTCTCTCCCAGGTCTTTTCTCCAAGAATTCTTCACTCAGCCACTCTTATTTCAGAGATCAGTGTTCGCTCAACTCAATTACTTCACTTGCCTGAACATTCCCATTTTTCCTTGACTCTCTAATACCCACATTTCCTTGTACTGCAAATAATTCAATCACCCAATCTTAGAAACCTTCTCTCCTGCCACAATTCCCAGAGTTCCTGCTCTGCACACCCACTTTCTTTACATCTCCCACCTGTGCCTGAAGGAATGTGGAAACTCCCAAAAAGCCCTTTCCCCCGGAGTACTCATCCTTCCTGCCCAGCAGCCTCCTCCCCGGTCCCTGCCTGTGCTGAGCGCACTCTTTCCTTCCAAGTGCTCAGATTCACCTCCACGCTCAGGACCGCCCCTCCTCTCCCTCTCCTCACTTCACTCGTTCCCCAGCCCTGACCCAGTCTGCCCAGCTCCCCCACAACCTCACTGCCCTGTTCTCCGTGCGCGCGCGCGCACTCACAAGAGCCACGGATGCTCCTCCCCTCACACATGTGTGGCTCACACGCACCTCCCCTCACATGCGCATCTCCCTCACATGCACCCCTCCTCTCACACACCCCCTCCTCACACGCTCAACTCTCACATGTACCTCCTCTCACACGCACCTCCTCTCACACGCACCCCCTCACACACACGCACCCCTCATCCCGCAAACACCTGTCCTCACCCGTGTACCCCTCACCCCGCAAGCATCTCTCCTTCCACGCGCACCCCTTCCCACATGCACCTGCCCGCACCTGCCCTCACCCGCCGCACCGCACGCCCCACGCTAAGCAGGAGTGCGCGGGCTCAAGCGGCGGAGGCGGCGGCGCCCAGCCGTTACCTCGGTCCCGGCGCTCCAAAAACTCAGCCGCCTCCAGCAGGCGCTGCACGTTGATCATCCGCACCCGCTCCAT